GTTGTTGTTGGTGTTGTTGAATATTTGTTCTTCAACATTTATTATTGTTGGACTCCACCCAGGCAGTTTGGCGCTCTCGCCTTGGCGCCAACTACGTTTTCATTCAACATGATGCTCGCGCTCGAGCGGTTTGGGGGGCGCCAAGCCTAGCCCCCCAACAACAACAACAACGCCCCCGCTCGAGACTTCTTCATTTCTTGCCAAAACCAGCGCTGCCGGACGAGACTTCCTCCCGTTTTACCTTGGAGTGGCGCGCTATTTGTTCTTTCATCGGCACCGCCCCCAGCAACAACAACGCTGAGCTCGAGACTTCCTTTTTTTTCCGAAGGCGGTGCTCCTCCTCGTCGCCGAAATCCGCCGCCCCGACAAAACCAGCGTTCCCGCGCAAGACTTCCTCCCGTTTTACGCTGGACTGGCGCCTTACTCTCTTTTGAATTGGCGCCGCTCCCAGCGAAAACAACGCTCCCGCTCGAGGCCTCGTCCCTTGTTCCTCAGGACGGTGCTGTTCCTCGCCGCCGACAGCCCCCGTCCCGACAAAACCACGGCTCCCGCTCGAGACTTCTCGCTTGTTACTCATGGCGGTGTTCCTCCTCGCCGCTGACAGCCGCCGTCCCAACAAAAGTGTTCCCGTTCGAGACTTCGTTTTGTTTTACGCTGGACTAGCGCCCTTCCTCTCTTTCTATTCAGGGCCAGGTCCTTGCGTCGCCGCCGACAGCCCCCATCCCCAGCAAGGCAATCATGTCACTCGATGCTTCCTTGTGCTTTACCCTTGGCTGGGGCTCTACTGGCGGTCTCGCTTCGGCGCAGCAAGGCGCGGGCATGTGTTTTCGAGGCGGGATCTGTTGAAATTCCTCGGAGGAGGTGTTTGCAAGACCTCCTTGGGCGGGATATTTGGGAATGGGAATAACGGACCCCGGTACAGAACAATACTCCCCCATGATGGGGATGGTTATCATGATTGTCGCATGCTTCGAGCGAAAACATCGCGCATGATGGTAAACTCATTGTTGTTGCTGAATTCTCACTTCTGAAGAATAATTAGTGTTGATCCCCCCCACCGGTGCATATTGTTTTTTCTCAGTCAAAGTGTGCCCCTCGACGCTCGCACCTTGTTTTTTGACAGGGAAAGTCTCTCTGCTCAAACTGGGCCCTTGGCCCCCGGGTTGCAACAACAACGGCTCCCGCCTGAGACTTCCTTACAATTTAGCCAGGACCCCCGCTCCCGCCCGAGACTTCCTCGCATTTTATTCAGGAGTCGCGCTCTCGCTGGAGACTTGCTTGCAACTCATTGAAGAATGGCCTTGCGTTGGAATTTCTTGCAATTTGCCCAAGCGCCGCGCTCCCGACACCCAGGCACCCAGGAGTCGCGCCCGTTGTGGCCCCATGTGCATGCCCTTCGTGGCCCCGCTGTCGCCATTTGTGTCCCCCTCACTGTCCTACGTGGCCCAGTTGCTACCCTCAGTGGCCCCATAGTTGCCTTCTGTGGCCCCGCATTATCTGCACTTCGTGGCCCCCGCTCGTTCGCGCTCTTCGTGGCCCCATACGCATTCCCTTCGTGTCCCCGCTGTCGCCCTTCGTGGCCTACTTCGTGCCCTTCGTGGCCCTGCTGTCGTTCTCTCTCGCTCTCGCTTTCGCTCGTCGTCGCCGTCGTCGCCGTCATCGTCGTCGTCGCCGTCGTCGTCGACGTCGTCGTCGTCGTCGTCGTCGTCGTGGTCGGTCCCCTGTCCGTCCCTCTTGGGGTTGTGTCGACGGTCCGCGGCCGCCCCGCCGATCAGCGCTGCCGCTGGCCAGGCCGACGGTCCGCGGCCGCCCCGCCGCTTGTCGGGGCCTGGCCTGCAGGGAAGAAAGGTATACCCCCCAAAGGGGTACGATCGAAGACGAAGAGGGCGTGTATCGAGGATTTGGGAAATAGGCGTTATTGGACACTCGAGCATATAGGGGCGAACGGCCTTAAAATGATTGTTGTTGTTGTTGTTGTTGTAGTTGTAGTAGTAGTTGTTGAACTCGATCCCCCCGGTGCGGTGCACATTGTTTTTTCTCGATTGAAGTGCCCTTCCTGGGGCTCGCATTTTTTTTTTTTTTTTTTTTTTTTTTTTTTTTTTTTTTTTTTTTTTTTTTTTTTTTTTTTTTTTTTTTTATATTTTATATATATATATATATATATATATATATATATATATATATATATATATATATATATTTACAACAACAACTGCTCCCGCCTTAGACTTCCTCACACGTTAGCCAGGACCCCCGCTCCCGCCCGAGACTTCCTTGCATTTAATTCAGGAATCGCGCTCTCGCTTGGGACTTCCTTTCAATTTATTCAGAAATCGCTCTCCCGGTGCTCTGGAGTCGCGCTCTCGCTGGAGACTTGCTCGCAATTTTCTGAAGAATAGCTTCCTTGCGTTGGAAATTCTAGCAATTTACTCAAGCGCCGCGCTCCCGACACCGAGGCACCCAGGAGTCGCGCTCACGCTTAGGACTTCCTGACAGATTACGTAAGAATCGAGATCTCGCTGCCCTTCGTGGCCCCGTTGCAGTCCTTCGTGGCCCCGTCGCTTTGTTTCGTGGCCCTGTTGCAGCCCTTGGTGGCCCCCTCGCTGCCGTTCGCGGCCCTGTTGCAGCCCCTCGTGGCCTCCTCGCTGCCCTTCGTGGTCCCGTTGCAGCCCTTCGTGGCCCCCTCGCTTTGTTTCGTGGCCCCGTTGTAGCCTTTCGTGGCCCCCTCGCTGCCCTTCGTGGCCCCGTCGCAGCCCTTCGTGGCCCCGTTACAGCCCTTCGCCGCCCCCTCGCTGCCCTTCGTGGCCCCCTCGCTGTTTTTCGTGGCCCCATATATGTATGCCCTTCGTGGCCCCCGCTCGTTCGCGCCCGTGGTGGCCCCATATGCATGCCCTTCGTGGCCCTGTTGCATCCCTTCATGGCCCCCTCGCTGCCTTTCGTGGCCCCATATATGTATGCCCTTCGTGGCCCCCGCTCGTTCGCACCCGTGGTGGCTCCATATGCATGCCCTTCGTGGCCCCCTCGCTGCCCTTCGTGGCCCCGTTGCTGCCATCAGTGGCCCCGTCCTTGCCCTCCGCGGCCCAGTATACGTATGCCCTTGGTTGCCCCCGCTCGTTCGCGCTCTTCGTGGCCCCATACGCATTCCCTTCGTGTCCCCGCTGTCGCCCTTCGCGGCCTACTTCGTGTCTTTGTGGCCCTGCTGTCGTTCTCTCTCGCTCTCGCTTTCGCTCGTCGTCGTCGTCGCCGTCGTCGTCGTCGTCGTCGCCGTCGTCGTCGACGTCGTCGTCGTCGTCGTCGTCGTCGTGGTTGGTCCCCTGTCCGTCCTTCTTGGGGTCGGGTCGACGGTCCGCGTCGCCCCGCCGATCACCGTTGCCGCTGGCCAGGCCGACGGTCCGCGGCCGCCCCGCCGCTTGCCGGGGCCCCGCCTGCAGGGAAGAAAGGTATACCCCCCAAAAGGGGTTCGATCGAAAACGAAGAGGGCGGGTATCGAGGGTTTGGGAAATAGGCGTTATTGGACGCTCGAGCAGATAAGGGCGAACAGTTTTAAACTGATTATTGTTGTTGTTGTTGTCGTTGTTGTTGTTGTTGTTGTTGATGTCGAGGATGATGGGGATGAGGATGAGGATGAGGATGATGATGGTGCTGGTGTTGTCCATGATGATGATTGGATGAGGGTGACGATCGTGATGACGGTGATGGTGATGATGATGATGATGATGATGATGATGATGGTGGTGGTGGTGGTGGTGGTGATGATGATGATGATGATGATGATGGTGATTGTGGTGATGATGACGACGGGGAGGAAAACTAGGCGGCCTAGCGCCGCTGAGGCGGTCTATCGCGCAGCCGAGGCGGCCCAGCCAGGGCGCTGGGCTCTCCCTTGTCGCCTACCTTGTCCTCGCAGTGCTTCACGCATTCGTCTTGATCTCGCTCGGCATCAGGGGGCGCGCGCGCGTGGGACAGATCTTGTCGGCGCTGATAGGAGGAGGAGGAGGAGGAGGAGGAGGAGGAGGAGGAGGAGGAGGAGGAGGAGGAGGAGGGAGGAGGAGGAGGAGAGGAGGAGGATGAGGAAGGGTAGGAATAGGAGGAGGTGGAGGAGAGGGGGGAGGGGGAGGGGGAGGAGGATTATGATTATGGTCATCAGGAGGAGAGGAGGAGGAGGAGGAGGGAGGAGGAGGAGGAGGGGGAGGAGGAGGAGGAGGAGGAGGAGGAGGAGGAGGAGGAGGAGGAGGAGGAGGAGGAGGAGGAGGATGAGGAAGGGTAGGAATAGGAGGAGGTGGAGGAGAGGGGGGAGGGGGAGGGGGAGGAGGATTATGATTATGGTCATCAGGAGGAGGAGGAGGAGGAGGAGGAGGAGGAGGAGGAGGAGGAGGAGGAGGGGAGGAGGAGGGGAGGAGGAGGAGGAGGGGTCGCCTGCGCGCACCAAGCTCCCAGGCATCGCTTCGTTGGCCCAGCTTCATCTAGAGGTCCGCTTAATGCATTTGCCATGGACTCGACATGGAACTCTTGCATTTTGTTTACAACATCGTAGCAGTTGACCCTTTCGCGTTTATATAATATCGTTGTATTTGCCCTGCAGTCCTCTTGGATAATTGACGGTGATCTTGCGTGCCAGTACCCAAATCATTTTATCATCCATGTCAGTTCTTGCGCTTCCTTCAAGCTTTGTTTGCGGATTGTGCCGCGTGCCCTGCAACCTGTGTCATGAGGAAATTGGGTGAGAGGACGGGGGGAGGAGGAGGTCACAACTGTCGGCGCTTCTATTTTTTCCGCCCCGTTGCGGGCCTTTTTTCGCAGCTCATATTTGCCACCCCTCTGTCTCGCGATTGGTCTGGGCTGGCGGTTCCCCCCTCCTTTTTTGTCGCAGACGGTGCGCATCTCTGCCTCGCACAGTCAGGCCACCTCAAAACAACAGATGCGGGGAAGGGGCGACGAGGATGAGGAGGGAGGACAAATGGAGAGGCGGAGGGGGAGGAAACGAATGTTGTCCCGCCCAGGACTTGCAGGCGTGGTGGGCTGCAGTGGCAGGAGTTGCCGGTGACCTAGGGCTCAATACGCCACTGGTGCCCTTCTTCTTCCCCTCGACAACGCGTAAGAGTGTCTCTTTGCCGAATTCACTCTTGGTGCGGGTCCACCGGCCTCCTCAACCGCTGAATGCGATGCGGAAGCAGCGGATTGCGCGTTTGGGTTTAGTTCCACCGCGCCCCCCCAAAACCGCGCACCAAAGGTCACTCTTGCTCAGGGTCAGTGCGGTGTGGCGATCTCCTTGCCAGTGGGGAGGACTGGAGGAGAACGGGTAGGGAAAAGGGGGGACATGTACTGGCGGTTCGTATACTGGGGTCTCCAGACTCAAAATCCTCGCCCTCGGGCTCAGATTTTGCGCCTTTCCTTCAGCTCTGAACTCATGCCTGTGGGTTCAACTGTCGAGCCTGCCGGGCACTCTGGGCATATTTTTGGCCCCCGCAGGTGACGGCACGTGTGGGTTGGACGCGAATGCCCTCCAGTACGTCAAGGACCTGCCTGGGGCGGGCATCTCTCGGGATGGGTGGGCAGGGGGGGCCGAAGGGGAGCGATGGGTGGGCAGGGGGGCCGAAGGGGGTGGAGAATTCTGGGAATCGGGAGCGGGGAATACAATGGGGGAGACGAAAGGAGAGGGGGGAAGTCAAGCTAGGTGGGCGGCGGAGGAGGAGGCGGCGCAGGAGAAGGAGGAGGAGGAGGAGGAAGAGGAGGAGGGAGGGAGGAAGGGAGGAGGGAGGGAGGGAGGGAGGGAGGGAGGGAAGGGAGGGAAGGGAGGGAAGGGGGGGGGAGGAGGAGGAGGAGGAGGAGGAGGAGGAGGAGGAGGAGGAGGAGGAGGAAGGAGCGGAGGAGGCATTAAGATGAGGAGGAGGCGGAAGAAGAGGAGGAGGAGGAGAAGGAAGAGGAGGAGGAGGAGGAGGAGGAGGAGGAGGAGGAGGAGGCGGAAGAGGAGGAGCAGGAGGAGCAAGAGGAGCCGGAAGAGGGAGGAGGGAGGAGGGAGGAGGAAGGAGGGAGGGGGACGAGGGAGGCGGGAGGAGGGAGAAGGTAGGAGAGAGGAGGAGGGAGGAGGAGGGGGAGGAGGAGGGGGAGGAGTTGGAGGAGGACCAGCGTTGACCCAAGACTACTCATCAACGATATTGCAATAAACCCTCCCTCCAAGTTCTCTATATTCATAGGTCCGTACAAGGACTCATTTTTTCAGTTAATTGCGGGGAATGTCTCAGTGGAAAGCAAGCGCTGGAAAATCCTGAACGGCGCCAGAGTTCCTCTCTGGAAATTCCTGAACAAGCGCTGGAGAATCCTGAACGGATGTCAACGCCGCGAAGCACTGTTACTGTTGCGTCCTGACAGTCCTGAATCGCGCCAGAACGCCGTTCTTGGGGATTGAACACAGCGAATCAACGTGACTGTTGCGCCATGACATTCCGATATCGCGCCAAAATATTACGGACGTTATCCATAGTAATCCTTGAAACTGTTGCAGACTTTTAAGACGCATGTCCGCGGCGCTTAGGTGAGAGCCCCATTTTGAAAAGAGATCGATTTATTCCATCCGTGAAACTTTTGCAAACGTTTAAGGTGCTACGGCGAGAGCCACATTTTCAAAACGACCCGCTCGCCATACGTGAAGCCCTTGCATTTTGAAAACGAATGTGTGCGGCGCTAAGGCGGAAACAACATTTTGACAACGACCCGCTCTCCATCCGAGAAGCTCTTGCGTTTTCTAAACGAATGTGCGCGGCGCTACGGCGAGAGCCACATTTTGAAAGCGACCCGCCCTCCATCTGTAAAGCTGTTTCACATTTGATGAAGCTTCATGACCATACATGGTGAGGAAGTCTCAGGCGAAACGCCTGGCCCGCCCTTTAGACCTGTCTCGGGGTGCGACAGAGAGGAGCTTTCTGATGACAGAGGGATGGAGGAGGAGGAGGACGTGGAGGAGAAGGAGAAGGAGGAGGAGGAGGCGGAGGAGGAGGGGGAGGAGGAGGAGAAGGAGGAGGACGAGGAGGAGGAGGAGATGGAGATGGAGGAAGAGGAGGAGGGAGGAGGCATGAGGCAGGAGGAGGAGAGAGGAGAGAGGTGGGAGGAGGGAGCAGGGAGGAGAAGGTAGGAGGGAGGAGGGGGGAGGAGGAGGGAGGGAGGGAGGGAGGGAGGGAGGGAGGGAGGGAGGGAGGGAGGGAGGGAGGGAGGAGGAGGAGGAGGAGGAGGAGGAGGAGGAGGAGGAGGAGCAGGAGGAATTGGATGATGAGGGCGGCTTGGGTGCGCGAAATCTCCGTGGCGCTCCACACGGGGAACGCAGGGATGCTCCTGAGCGCGCGGGGGCAGTAAGCCACCGCTGACCCCCACCACGCCTGCCACGACCACCACCACCACACGATAATCACCAGCACGACCACCAACTGTACGACCGCGGCCTCGACCTCTGCACGGTCGCTTATCACGACCACCGTTCCCTCCAGATCTCCCACGACCATCGCGATCACCATGACCATTACGAGTACCAGCACGACCACCAACACGACCTCTAGCAGGACCACCGCGGCCACTACGACGGCTTCGACCACGATAGCCGAAGGCTAGCACCCCCACGCCCACCGCGGGACGACCACTATCAGTGCGACAACCATCAGCTCGACCACTGCCAGCACGACCACAACCACCAGCACGACCTACACCAGCACGACGACGGGTGCCTCGGATCTCGCTTCTCTTCCCTGGAGGGGTGAGGAGGAGGAGGAGGACCAGGAGGAGGAGGAGGAGGAGGAGGAGGAGGAGGAGGAGGAGCAAGAACAGGGGCATGAGCAGGAGGAGGACGAGGAGGAAGAGAGATGCGAGGATGATTGAGTAGGGGCCTGCAGGGTGGAAAAAGGGAGCGATGACGGGATTGTGGGACTGGTGGTTGGGGGGAGGGTGGGAATATTAGCCCTCAGCCTCCCGCCGAGGCGACAAGAATCGTGTACCAGTCTGTCGCATCTAGACTGCACGTGAGTCCCCTGCCTTGAGCATCTCAGGGAGTGTACGACTACGTCGAGAAGGTGATCATTGCGTGCGGCACCCCAGATGCCTTCGACGTCTACGAGGTCGTTCGCGCGCGTGTGTGTGTGTGGGGTGGGGAGGGGGGTGGGTGGGCGGGGTGGCGGGAGCGACAGGAGTAGCAACAGGGATGGGCGTGATGACAAGGATGAATGATATTATATTTATATATATATATATTTGTGTGCTGTATTCATTTTTTGACACATATATATATAGCAAGAGATAGCTGCACAGCTGTATGTATGTATGTATGTATGTATGTATGCATGCATGCATGTATGTATGTATGTATGCATGTATGTATGTATGTATGTCTGTGTATGTATGTATGTATGTATGTATGTATGTATGTATGTATGTATGTATGTATGTATGTATATATGTATGTATGTATGTATGTACGTATGTATGTTTGTATGTATGTATGTATGTATGTATGTATGTATGTATGTATGTATGTATGTATGTATGTATGTATGTATGTATGTATGTATGTATGTATGTATGTCTGTATGTATGTGTATGTATGTATATGTATGTATGTATATGTGTGTGTGTGTGTATGTATGTATGTATGTATGTATGTATGTATGTGTGTATGTATGCATGCATGCATGCATGCATGCATGCATGCATGCATGCATGCATGTATGTCGGTCTGTATGTATGTATGTATGTATGTATGTATGTATGTATGTATGTATGTATGTATGTATGTATGTATGTATGTATGTATGTATGTATGTATGTATGTATGTATGTGTACATATATAAACATACACATTGGGAGGGGGTCCTGGACCAGGGGGGGGGCCTCACTTTGCCCAGTGGCTGTGGTCACCCCCCCGCCGGAGACGCCAGGACGCTCCCAGGACCCTCTAAAATGGCTCCAGGACGCCCTCAGGACAGCCCAAAGAAGGTCCGAAGCGGCCCAGGAGCACTCCAAGACGGTTAAAAAGCTGCTAAAGCGTCCCAGCAGGTCTTCGACAGCACTCCCGGGAGGGGCCCAAGAGGGAATTTTCATAGATTTTTAGTGGGTTGTTGAAAGATTTTGGCGTTCTCCCCAGTTCGGCTTCCAGACGCTCCAAGACGGCCCAAGAGGCCCGAAATATCGCCTCAAGACGAGCCAAGAGGCCCCCAAGAGACCACCGAGACAGCTCAAGAGGGCCCCAAGACGGCCCAGGAAGCTTCCAAGACGGTACAAAAGAGCTCCCAGAACACTCCAAGAGGAGCCCCAGATGGGGAACACGATCTGACATTTTGAGCCCTCGCCTACCAGAAGCTCCCAAGAGGCCCCCAGGAGTCCGCAAGAGGCCTCGAGAGGCCCCCAGGAAGCTCCAAGAGGCCTCCCAAAGGCGCCGAAAGGGCCCCGCAAGGCTCCCAAGAGACTTCCACCAGGCCCCAAGAGGCAGCCACGAAGTACCCAAGAGGTTTTCAAGAGCTTTACAGGATGCCCCCGAAAGACTTCACACACACACCAATAGGCATCCAGCAGGACACTGGCCCATCACCCAGGCATGCTGGCCTCAGGCGCACAACCCAAGTCCCCCAGACAGCTCCCGCAGGAGCCGCACAACCCTCCGAACGAACCAGAGGGTTGAACCTCGACGTGCCCCTCCTGGAGGATTGTTTTCTTCATGGTCTCAGGAAGCGGGAGCGGTCTCCAGAGGGCGGCCGACGCCGGCGACCGACTTCCGCACCGAAGAGACCACGACGTCCGAGGCCCAAGTCCCCGGCTCGTAAGGGCCTCAGAAGTCGACGCAAACAATCTTCACGTCGGAATTCCAGCCTCGAGGATCGAAGTTCGAGGCTATTTCGTCTCTGGTAGGCCTCCGCGTCACCACGAGTGGACGTGGCTAAAAAATCCTGTGGGTTTTGATTCTGCGCGTGGAAACTCCAGGGACCCCTTTGAAGCACGGCTGGACGCAGCTCGGACAAAATATACGGGTTTCGACCCCGGGAGCCGCCCAACAGGCATCCAGCAGGACACTGGCCCATCACCCAGGCATGCTGGCCTCAGGCGCACTACCCTCCTGGAGGATCGTTTTCTCCATGGTCTCAGGGAGCGGAAGCGGCCTCCAGAGGGCAGCCGACGCCAGCGACCGACCTCCGCATCGAAGAGACCACGACGTCTGCGACCCAAACAATCTTCACATCGGAATTCCAGCCTCGAGGATCGAAGTTCGAGGCTATTTCGTCTCTGGTAGGCCTCCGCGTCACCACGAGTGGACGTAGCTCAAAAATCCTGTGGGTTTTGATTCTGCGCGTGGAAACTCCAGGGGCCCCTTTGAAGCACGGCTGGACGCAGCTCGGAAAAAATATGCGGGTTTCGACCCCGGGGGCCGCCCAACAGGCATCCAGCAGGACACTGGCCCATCACCTAGGCATGCTGGCCTCAGACGCACGACCCGGCTCGTCAGGGCCTCAGAAGTCGACCCCCGTGCCCAATTTTCACGTCGGGTTTCGCGCCTGGCTGGACGCAGCTCGGAAAAACTATGCGGGCGAGTTGCCAAGCGAGCGAACGAGCGGGCTGCAACAGGCGGGTCGGGCGGGCGGAACCTGGCAGTTTGCTCACTAAAGCGTGAGTCCTGAATGAATGGCGAGGAAGTCTCAGGCGAAGGCGTTTTTCCAAAGTGCATAGTTAGGAAGTCCCCAGCGAGAGCGCTATTTCTGAGCGTCGAGGGCCGCGGCGCCTGATTGAATTGCGAGGACGTATCAGGCGACAGAGCGATTCTTAGATAAATCGTCAGGAGGGCCCCAGCGAGAGCGCGATTCTTCGATACATTGGAGAGAGCGTGATCCACCGTCGCTTTACTGTGGAAAATTGCCAACCTTTTCCTCCGGAACCCGGGGATCCCCCCCCGTGGTGAGCAGGATTCGGTACCATTTGACAACATGAGGCCAACATGGTTCCCATCGGTGTGTGTGTGTGTGTGTGTGTGTGTGTGTGTGTGTCTGTGTTGGTGTGTGTGTGTGGTGTGTGTGTGTGTGTGTGTGTGTGTGTGGTGTGTGTGTGTGTGTGTGTGGTGTGTGTGTGTGTGTGTTTGTGCGTGTGTGCGTGCGTGCGTGCGTGCGTGCGTGCGTGCGTGTGTGTATATATATGTGTGTGTGTGTGCGTGTATGTGCGTTGTGAGTGTCTGTGTCTGTCTGTCTGTCTGTCTGTCTGTCTGTCTGTCTGTCTGTCTGTCTGTCTGTCTGTCTGTCTGTCTGTCTGTCTGTCTGTCTGTCTGTCTGTCTGTCTGTCTGTCTGTGAGTGTGTCTGTGTCTCCCAAAAGCCGCTAACCTCGAGGCTCGAGGTTTGAACCTCGACGTGTACTCCCCCCTTTCCCACCTGTCTCCTCCGCCGCCGCCGCCGCCGCCGCCGCCGCCGCCGCCGCCGTCGTCGTCGTCGTCGTCGTCGTCGTCGTCGTCGTCGTCGTCGTCGTCGTCGTCGTCGTCGTCGTCCTCGTCGTCGTCCTCGTCCTCGTCCTCGTCCTCGTCCTCGTCGTCGTCCTCGTCGTCGTCGTCGTCGTCGTCGTCGTCGTCGTCGTCGTCGTCTCTGTCGTCCCTGTTCTCGCCGCGAGGAGGAGGAAGGAGGAAGAAACGTGGACAAGGAGGATGAGGTGGGGGAGGGGGAGGAGAGAGGAGGGAGGAGGAGGAGGCTGATAAGGATGAAGAGAAGGAGGAGGAGGAGGAGGAGGAGGAGGAGGAGGAGGAGGATGAGAAGGAGGAGGAGGAGGAGGAGATGGAGGAGGAGGATGAGGAGGAGAAGGAGGATAATGATAAGGAGGAGAAGGAGAAGGAGGAGGACGAAAAGGAGGAGGAACAGGATGAGGATGAGAACGAATACGACGCGTTCACCGGTGACTGTGTGAATGCAAGCGGCGGGTCCACATACATTGTGCATTACGTACCAGGTAGTCTTGTCGGTGGGGGATTTGACTATGGCAAGTCTGCGTGCGATTTGCTTTTGTCAGTTTGCAAAGTTTTCACTGTCGCTTCAGATAGACCGTGTCTATGGCTGTGGGTCAGCGTAAGCCAAGGTGATAACGATTTGATGTTCGGATCGGCATCACCGATAACAGCTGGGAGCGGTGACGCTGATGTTTTATGCTATATCCGTGAGGTGGCCGTGGATTTGAAAGACAATATCTGGTTTCAGTCATGATTTGCTGTGGAGGGGGTTCGGATACACATCGTCTTGAAGTCGCTCCCAGGGCCGCGATCCCTGGAGGGCTCCAGGGGCCCTTCCGAGGGGGGGACCGTGCCCACAATTTCGTAACGATGGAAGGGGGCTCCAGGGGCCCTGGAGAGCTCCAGGGGCCCTTTTCCGGAGGGGGGCGTAACCAAATTTGGTTACGATGGCAGGGGGCGTTCCAGAGGCCCTGGAGGTCTCCAGGGGCTCTTCGGAGGGGAGGCGGGACCGTAACCACATTGGGTTACGATCGCAGGGGGCTCCAGGGGCCCTGGAGGGCTCCAGGCACCCTTTCCGAGGAAGGGACCGTAACCAAATTTGGTTACGATGGCAGGATGCTCCAGGGCCCAGAAGCCCTTCCGAGGGAGGGGGACCGTAACCAATTTTGGTTACGATGGCAGGAGGCTCCAGGGGCCCTGGAGGGCTCCAGGGGCCATTTTCCAGCAGGGGGAGACCGTAACCAAATGTGGTTACGATGGCAGGGGGCTCCAGGGGCCCTGGAGGGCTCCAGGAGCCCTTCCGAGGGGGGGGGGGACCGTAACCAAATTTGGTTACGATGGCAGGGGGCTCCAGGGGCTCTGGAGGGCTCCTGGGGCCCTTTCCAGCAGGGTGAGACCGTGAACCAAATTTGGTTACGATGGCAGGGGGCTCCAGGGGCTCTGGAGGGCTCGAGGGCCCCTTCCGAGGGGGGGGACCGTAACCAAATTTGGTTACGATGGCATGGGGGCTCCAGGGGCCCTGGAAGACTCCAGGGCCCTTCCCAGGGGGGGACCGTAACCAAATTTGGTTACGATGGCAGGGGGCCCAGGGGCACTGGAGGGCTCCAAGGGCGCTTCCGGGGGGGGGGGACCGTAACCAATTTTGATTACG